TTTTTCCTTTGTTATTTCTGTAAAACATTTGTTTCCTTTATTTTGTCGTTTAGGATTTTGGTTATTCAGATGCTGAACCTCTAGAATAATCCTCAAAAGTCAACCTGTTTCTCTCATGTCTCTTTTTTCTTTAATTTTATGAATCATTTTCTGAAGATTCTATACTTTCAGGTAAATTTTTAATTTTTGCTATCAACTTTTTAGCTTTCAAAAATTCATAAAACTGCTGCTTGTTTTAGTTTCCTATTCCTATTTCTCAGATGCCTGGTAAGCGCGAGATCATGAATTCTATCTATGGTACAAAAAAATATATTACTGGTCAGTTTTTCTGTCATTTTCTTATGCCTCTTGTACTCTTGTTCAATTGCCTTTTCTCCATTTCTGTGTTTTTGTCCTTGTGTTTTATTTTAAGGCTTTCCTCAGAAGGCGGGTGACCCTTGGCTGTTGCTTCTTACTATGAAGGATCACTTAAACATTAATTAAACACTTCCATCAGTGCAGTGGTCCTACTAACAGTCATCCAGCCTTCTCTGTGCTCATCCATATTCTTGATTGGAAGGCCCCCAGATGTGGGCATCTGTATGTGTTTTCCTCTTGGCTGCTCCGTTTTCCCGAAAGCAATCTTTCGGCCATCTGTAGATCTGCTTGAGACATAAGCCTGACTCATGTGAAAATCTCATTTTCAGAATGGAAAGTCTCAACCACCTCCTTAGTTGTCATTGTTGTCGACAGCCTAGGACCTGTATAGATGAGCTCCTGTAAAGTGCAAACTTCCCATCTGCCACGTAGGTGACACAGGAGCAGCCTTCAGACAGTGCAGGCTTGGGAGGAGGCTGAGCACTGTGAGTTTTTTTATGGGTCTGTGGTCTCCTCCAGCCATCACATACCAGAGGTGAGATGTCTGGTGCTTCTCAGGCTTAAGCCTTCCCCAAAATTTTGGGCTCCTCAGCTTGCTTCTTGCTCATTTTCTTCCCTCCCCAACTTTCATTTCAGTTGTTTTGAGTCTGCTAAGTCAATTGCTACTCATCTGTTTCTCAACTTCCAAAAGTATGTGGATCCCACTCACCAGCTGCCACTTCTCCTTCCATTCTCGTTGTCATTGTGGATATATGCCTTTTTCTGTGATATTTTAGGGGGAATTAAGGCAGAGACAGGCAGTGTCAATTTTGAACTGCTTCCTTTCACTTAACAATAGGATTTAGGATTTCTCTATGTTTTTCATGGCTTTGAGAGTGCATTTATCTTTAGTGCTGAATAATATTCCATTGTCTGGATGCACCACAACTTATCTATTTACCGACCGAAGGACTTTGAGTTGTTCCAAGTTTTGACAGTTACAAATAAAGCCATATTAACATCATGTGTATGTGAAATATATATTTATATCTATATCAGTCTGTTCTCCAGGATGAATGTAATTATTATGTATAATGAACATAAACTAATAAAAATTTTGTATATGCATACATTTTATACTCTTTTGGATAAACCAAGAGTGAGATTGCTGGATCACATTTATTTATTTATTTAATTTTAAAAAGAAAAAGAATAAAGTGATTTATTTGTTTAATTTTAAAAAGAAAAATAATAAAATGATGAAGAATTTCTAAACAAAGTAATAGATTAATAATGATTAATATATTGCATATTGTTATCTTCAAAGTAGTTGTTCAGATTACAAGATAGAGGCATGGAAAATTGATCAAATAATGAAAGCACAAACCATTCTTTTCAATAAACTAACAGAGACTGGTAATATAATTATCTGTCTTGTGTATCTATATTTATCTGTATCTCTATATTTATATCTATTTTGATATCTATCTTCCTTTCCCTTCTTTCTTTTCTCCTTTTCCCATCCTAATTGTTCTACACTCCCACTAACAATGGGGAAGAGTTGCTTTTTCCTCACATCCCAGCTAGCATTTGGTATTGGTTGATTTCTGTATGATAGCCATTCTTTCTGAGGTGAGACAGAATCTGTGTTGCTTTAATTTGCATTTCTCAAATGATCAGAGATGTTGAACATTTTTAAAAATCTTTATTTTCCATTTTTATTTCTTCATCTGAGAAGTGTATATTCATCTCAGGTACCACTTTTGGATTGAGTCTTTGAATTTAGGAGGTCTAATTTTTTTCATCTATTTGTATGTTCTGGATAGAAGCCCTTTATCTAAGGAAGTTGGCTAAAAGTTTTTCCAACTCTATTTTCTTTTCATTCTGTTGGTAATTTGTTTTGATGTACACAAACTCTTTAATAAGATGAGATCCCAGAAGTTGATTCTTTGAAGTACTTTCTATATAGTTTATGTGTGGCTCATGAACTCTGCATACCCAGATGTCTTCAAAATTTACCTACTTTGTCTCCCACTAGATTTAGTGTTTCCATTTTAATATTTAAATCTTTGCACTACTTTGATTTTATCTTAGTGTGTGGTGATAGACATGTGTCTAGTTTTAGTCTTTAGCATGCAGAAAGCCAGTTTTTCCAGCATTGTTGTATCTTGCTTTTTGATCCATTCTGCCAGTCCATTTCTTTTGATTGGTGAACTGAGCCCATTTATATTGATATGTATTGGCTTATAACTGATATGTATTAGCTTATCTTTGTCATGTTATTTTCCTACAGTTGATTCCCTGGTTTTCCCATTTATTTGCTTGTTCTGCCTGGAAATTTCTTTATGATGTTGTACTTGGAATTGTGGTATGTTTAATCTCTGTCTAGAATATCTTTTAGTATTCTTTGTAGGGTTGGTTTGGTGGTTATGAATTTCCTCAGGCATTCTTTGTCATGGAAGTATCTTATTTTTTCATTAATTTTGACAGATAGTTTTGCAGGATACATCCATCTGGTTTGGAAGTTGCTTTCTTTCTGGACTTGAAATCCTTCATTTTAAGTTCCTCTTGACTTGATAGTTTGTGATGAGAAGTTGGCCATGATCCTAATGGGCTTTCCTTTAAGGTGATCTGTTTCTTTTCTCTATCAACTTTTAATGTTCTATTTTTATGCTGAATTTCTGGGATCTTGATTATTATATGTCTGAGTGTAGATTTATTTTCATTATATTTCATTATCATTATTTATTTTCATTTCATTATTTCATTTCATTTCTATATACCTCACTTATCTGTAAGTTGGATTCTGTTATCATGCTTGGGGAATTTTCTGCTATTTATTTACAGACAGCTTTTTAAAAAATGTTATTTGCATTGGCTCTTGTTTTTTTCACTGACACCTATAAGTCTTTTATTGTTTTTCTTTGCATCGTCATGGAGCTGCTGAATTGCTATTTCATGGTCCTTTGGTATTTTTAAGAGATCTTTCTTTTCATGATCACTAGTCATGATCCTGTCTTCAAGGTCTGAAAGTCTCTCTTTAAAGTTTCATACAAGCTGTTTTTTAGCTTTCAATAGAATTTAAATTTCCTGAATATCTTTTTGAATCTGTTTTATTCAATTTCTTTTCTATATTCTATATTCATTCAAGGTTTCAATCATTTTCCTATGCTCCTCTATTTTTTTAAATCTATGTCTTGTCTTGCTGTGTTGAGCAATTTCTTCATTATGATTGTCAATTTGATTTTTACCTGAGAGATTATTATTTCTAGTCTGATTTCCTCATGGATTTGTTTCTTTACTTCACTTTATATCTTTTCAGAAATTTCAGGTGTGTGTCTTTCAATTTATTCTATGTTGGTGTCTCCTATAATTGTTGTAGATGGGCTGGAGGTCTGAGATTGTTCTTTGATTTTTCATCTTGCATTTTCAGTTTCAGAAAAAAAACTTATTTTTTTTTCCTGTGATGATCCTTGTGAGTTTTTGTAGTAGGTACCTATATCACTAGTATCAAGGCCTTTCTAGGAAAAGTCTGTTCTTCAGGGATCTCTTTTGTGTGTTGGAGGTTCTTAGTTTGTATCTGTCCCAAGAACCTACATTCCTAATTAATTTATAGTGAGATGTTGTTATCTGTCTGGTTCCATCCCCAGTCCTTTGTTGTTGGACTATGGGTAGGTTATTACCCCAGAAGTTCCCAGTAATGTTACAACAGTGGGAATAACTGATTAAGGCAGATATGACATCCTATGTAAAATAGCATAGTTAGCATCAAACACAATTTAAAAGCTAACAAACTGCTTAGTACTGATTTTGTATTTAGACCACAAGAGCAATGTCTATAGTTGTACAACAGAACTGATCATAAATCAGGAGTTTGTATATAAAATGTTTCCCTTTGGTGGAGTGATTTTACTTTGTGGTGGGAAAATTTAGGGAGGCTATTGTATAAAACAATGATGACTGGAAAAGTGATACAGGCAAGGTTGGAAGTAAAGGATGATCATGCTGGGTTGGGAAACTAGAGAAGAGAGTAGAAAAGAAATAATGAAGGAGTGATTGAGGGATTATCTGAGCTTGGTTTTTAGATTTGGGGATGGGATTAGTTTTATGTGCCTGGAATTCTCCTGAGTCATTTAGAAAAGAGGGAGAAAAAAGAAAACAAAAGAAAACAAAAGAGAATAAAAGATAAAGAAAAACCAAAAGAGAAGAAAATTAAAGAGAAAGAAAAAATTGAGGAAAAATAAAAAGTAAAATAAGTAAGATAAAAGCAAAAATAAATTAAGATAAAATTAAATTAAATTTAAAAGAAAGAAAAAACAAAAATAAAGAAGACTGCTCCACCCATCTAGTTCTACTCCATGTGTCTTTGTCCCTAAGCACAATAATAGTTCACCTAACTTACCACCTGATGCTTCATATTTCAATCTTTTCAGTCTCACTAGTCTGTCTCACTTGCCTGTCATTGTGTATGTGCCTGAGTTAGGGTGCTGCTGTGTGACTGGTGTTCTCCCAGTTGCTGGATCCTGTGGTGTAAGGGCAGCCCAGTTGGTGATTCCTTTATGCTTCTTGAGTTGACCAGCCTAGGATAATTGCTATGAACCAACAGTTAGCTCATATTGTTGCTGCTGCTTTAGACTTTTCCAGACTGCCAGACCCACCTGTCCATTGTGTGTGCTCCAACTGGGGCCTTCCTGTGTCATTAGGGATCTTTCAGGTCCACCCAGGCCCTGATGGAGGAAGGGATCACCAGTGCTCTCCAGGCCTGTCGGGGCCTTCTGGGTGGAGGGTGGGGTCACCAGCACACTTGCAGGCCTGCCAAGGTCCTCCTGAGGGATAAGAATATATTTAATAAGAAACTGCCACTGTCTTCCAAAGAGATTGTACCATTTTATACTCCCACAGGAAATGAATGAATGAAGAATTATTATTCTACATTCTCTCCATCATTTATTGTCGTTAATGTGTCAGATTTTAGCCATTCCAATAGTGTAACAAAATTTGTAATGCCCTTATACATTAACTTTGTCATGTGAATCAGTGCTGAGGTTGTTGTAATTGACACATTTTTCTCATTATGAGTTGTTTTCTTTGTACATGCCTGATACTATTCTTTTCATATTTAAGATATTGTGAGTTTTATACCCCTGAGTGTCAGATATTTTTATATTTCTATATATATTTTTGACCTTTATTCAGGATATAATTACTTAAAAAATTTGATCTTTTGGGTATTTTAAACTCTGTTAGATGTAACTAGAGCAGAATTTCATCTCTTGCATTAATGAGGCAAGATCCTTTTGAGTACTCTACCTACTGACCTGTGTATTTTAAGGCTGTACATTTTGGCTTGATGAAATAGGGACAATTCCAAGCTCTGTGAGGCACAAGGAATTCTTTGCTGTAGCATGGTTCTTTCTCTCCCCTACATGTTGGCTTAAAGGAGGATTCAGCTGAAGACTCTAGGAGGTCCTGTGCAGATTCTTCTCTCTCTCTTTGGAGCTGTCTGCTCTCTGATATTCCACCCTGCACACTTTTGAGTCCCTGGCCTATCCAGATTCCCAACTCCATTTCTAAAACTCGGTTCCTCTTGGCTTCTTCATTCCTTCCTGGAGAGACTGGAAACTCACTAGCCAGTAAGCTAGAGGTCAGCTCCTGTTTCCTATTTCTTAGAAATCACCATGTCATCTAGGCAACTCTCCCCAAGACTGGGACCTGCAATGGTAGGAGTCAGAGAATCTGCAGTGGAGGATGGGTCTGATTTTCCAGAAGGCCAGAGCCAATCTCCGTCTTTGAGAAGAAGAGGTTAGAGGTAGGAAGGAATGAAGCTTTTGGAAAAATGACTGTAATATCAATGCTGTTTTTATTATTAAAAACCTATCCTGTTTTTCCTATTTAAAAGCTTCATCTATTTGTTATTCAATGTCTTTAAAATCCTGGAAGGAGAAATATTGCTAATTATGAGATCTATTTTGGCAGTTTAAAAAAGACCAGCTAACTGGATGACGCCCCAGCCCTTTAACTCTTATCTCCCAGGCCTTCTGGTTTTTACTGTGGATTATCCTGCACTTCAGTGAGTGGGAGCTGCTGAGTCCACTTGTGTCTCACGAATTTGAGGATGAACCCTTTGAACAGCAGCACTTCAAAAGTTTTACCTTCATGATAAAATTCTTTCTAAAATGCATTACATACTTTCCTGCCTTAGTGTGAGTAATAAAATGGTAAAGTTGGTAACTAATGACTTACAAGCTTCAGTTTGGCACTTTTTAAAGTTGCTTTACATGTGTTGATTAATCCTCACAACAAACTGGAGAACTAGACACAAATATTATTGCTATTTTACAGATGAGGAAACATACAAGGAGTTTAAGAACTTGTCCAGGGCGTACAGATCACAATTAAAACTTTATGCATCTTTGTCAATGCAAAGATGTCATTGAGATCTAGACCATATCCAAGGGTGTAGGCACACTTACGGAAAGGCCCCGGGAGTTTGAGATCTGAATGAAGGCCCCTCAAAGTTTATTTCAGGAGAGCTCACAAAGGACCTCTTATTGGCAATACTTGCTCTCCATGGGAGCCAAAGAGAAACGAGCCCTGAAGGTATCCCCTGGAAAAGGGAGACTGGGGAATTGATGAGAACAAGGAAGAGCAGAGGGCTGGAAACCATAAGGCTAGTGGGAAGCCATGGTAAAGTGGTAGAAAATGTAAAGTGTATAGATGGTGACCAAGAGGGGGCTTCCCCTGAACACAAAGCAGTATAATTTCTGTTGATACTTTAGCAGGCTGAATGGGGTCATTCAGACTTGAGTTCATCTATATCTACTGGGTGGTCCTGATGGTCACCTAACCTCATCATGTATGAACACATTGATAAAATGGGGAAACATATTACTTAAAATTTAGGTATGATTGACTTGGATTGACTCAGATATGCACATAAAGGGCTCAGCAGAATACCTGGAATGTAGTAATAACTCATTAAACAGTCTTCACTGTTTGTAATAATGAAGTGCTGGAGTAAGGCCAAGAGGAACAGTTGCCTTTGCTTAGATAATCCATGTTGCTCATGAGCTCATGACTTGAGAATAGCCAGGGAGTCACACAATGGGCAAGGCTCCCTGGGGAGGGAGCTTGTTCTCTCAAGAGAGGGGTGGGCCAGTGCTGGCTGTCCAACAAGAATCCATTGTTGAGCAGCTGTGCTGAGCACACCCCTGTCTATTCTGGTGCCCTGGGCTTTTCCTTGCTGGTCTTAGCTCTGGATAGCCATGGCTCTGGGAAGTCATAGGACAGGACTTCACCGTAGCAGCTTGAACGTTAGAGTACTCCTATGTCAGGAGCTCTAGAAGCCAGCAGGTCCAGGAGGAGGGTGGAGGTCTCAAGCTGGAGGAACCCAAGGGCAGCAGCAGATTAGTCTGGAACAGAGTTATCAGACCAGGCAGCACATGGCTCAGCTCTGTGCAATCCAGTGTGTCATGATTACTACTGGTCCCATCTCTTTTTCCTGAGGCCCAGCTACCAACAGAACCCAGCCCCAATAGGACTTCCTCTCCTAAAAGCCACAGCTCCCCCAAAGAGGACCACTGATAAGCCAGTGTCACTAGAATTGGTCCAGGTGTTCAAGGCAATAGACTTTCCCTAAGCACAGAAACAGGGAGGGTGTAGAAGGAAGGGATAGTGTTGAGGCTGCACAAAGCAGGCCCTCAAAGCTCTAGATGCAGAAGGAAGGCCCAAAAGACATCTCAGTGAATAGTCTGCAACAAAGAACTTTTTTTTAAAAAAAGTAAATTTAGTGTTTTAAAATACTATGTCTATGACTTGAAGAAGAGCTGATATCCCAAGGATTTTCTACATTTTTCTTTAAGCATGAAAACCCATTTGTTGCATGAGCTCTCAGTAGATAATTTGCACAGCAGGTAGACACAGAGTAGCAAACTGGAGTTAATGCAGGATCCCACATGTAGTGCCCACTGCGTGTGGCTCCCACCTCTATAGAACCCCAAGCCCAGGTTGTGAAAGCCTATGTGACAAGAGAATGATAAACTGCCAAAGGAGACAGGTCTACACGTTAAGCTTATGTTCTGCCTTGTTGGCACTGAAACATTTCCCAACCTTATTCCAGCCTCGTTATGGGCTGGTGAATCCAAACAAATAAACTTTTAAAATTAATTTTCAAATGAGTAAAATGAGAAAATGTATTCTCCATTTCCTCCCTTATTTGTATAACTGCACACAGTTTTGCAAATAAAGTATCACTGTTCCCTTGAATCCCTCAAGAGCACCGTCTCATCATCCCTGCTCCTCCCCCTCAAGGTCACTGTGTTGACCTTGGAGATACTCTTTGTCTTCTTTTCCTTTTAGTTTTATGTGGGTATCTTTAAACACTGCAGGTTAGCTTTGCTTCCTAAAAAAACATAACTTCATTTCTTGTATAGCTTGCTTCTTCACCAGGACGTCTGTAAGATTCAGCCACATAATTTGATGAAATATTTCTATTTGTGGTAGATTTAAGCCTTGTCATGTCTGTGTCCTTGGGCAAGGTTATGCAACTTTTGTGAGCCTCAGTTGCCTTATCGGAGGCAGTGTTTCAGAAATGGTTTCAGAAACAGCTCCAAATCTCTGTCTTATTAGAGAAGACATAAATATAACACAGGGTCACAAATTGCTAATGGGGATGGGGGAACAGAGAAGTAAGCCATTTTCTGTGAATTATAACTCCCTTTTAATTAAACTCACACAGAAAAATGAAATATATCTGGAGGGAGAGGGGATGGGCATCATGCTATTTAAACTTTTTCTATGTTGATTGATTAAATTAATAAACAAATATTAACTGTTACTATTTACATCCTATTTATATAGTGCTAGTTATTAATGATATAAAGATAAACAAGACATAATTCCTTTCTTGAGGAGCTCCAATTCCAACAAGAGGGAGGGGAGGGGTGGGAGGAAAAGAGAAGGGAGGGAAGGAGAGGAGAGGACAGAGGGGAGAGGAAAGGAGAGGAGAGGACAAAAGGGGAGGGGAGGGGAGGGGAAAGGAGGAGGGGAGGGGAGAGGGGAGGAGAGGAGAGGAGACAAGACTTTCATTACTTTCACAAATCTGGAGTTGCACATGGTCACTTCTTCAGTGTTCTGTTTGAACAGCCCACATGCAGAGGAAGGTTCTGCTGTTGAAGGGAGAGATACTGAAGAATTCCGGCCACGTCTTAAAACTATCATGATGTACAGAGGCAGGAGGAGCTGGCCCAGCTGGTGGTGGAGAATAGTGAGATGCCCATGACGGAGAGTACACTAGCAAGGAGACATAGATGGGCTTGAACTCTGGCTGACCCTCTGGGCAGGGCCTCACCCTTAGGATGTAGAATCCTGCTAGCACAGGCAGCTAAGTTAGATAGAAATTAATCCACAGTCAAAGAGGAATTGGGCCCTCAAGGAAGTCGGCACACATAAGAAATACAAACATCAGATTTGTGACCAGAAGTGAATCTGAAATGAGCCAGGCTCAGAGTGGGAAAGCTGTAAACAGGCCTGCATGCCTCCTAGCGAGAAATAATAGCTTGGGATTATACTGTAATTAGCGCAACCTGGTGCAGAGGTTGGGTAATCAGAACACCAGACCCATCGTACTCTCCTCCCTTCCCAGGAATTCTTCTGATTTTTCCATGTACCTTTTCTATGTAACTTGTTTCATTACTGAATCAATATTAGATAGCTAAGCAGATATACTTATCCTATCAGTTGACTGTAATTTTATCCACATTGTCCATTCATTGTGATTTTTCTGTATGAACTACCTGTGACGAAGGACCTGGAGAGCCACCGATTC